GTCGTCCAGTTCAAAGCCACAAGAGGAGATAAAGAGATGATACCATTTGATCTCATTGTTGATGTCTGAAATTGGCTTCATCCAGGGTGAAGAGGCAAACCAAAGTATTTAGGTAAGAATAATGACGGACGAAAAAAAAACAATAAAAGGTCTATTTAGGGTTTTCAAATGCAGTTATTTGTTAAATCTCCACAAAGACATAGGCCTTCACCCCTTTTGCTTTGGTCAGTGTGTTGGCAGCAGTCCAAGGGATGAGGATCTGTCTGGCAAGATACCACCATGTAATTATGTGTTTTTGTGATTTGAGTGAAGTTATCCTTTAAAACACATTCTGATATAGTGTCTCTGTATCTAATGTAGCATATGAGGGTTTGGGATGCTTTTCTTTTAAGTTAAGTGAAGATCATGCAAATTCAATTGTTGGAAGCACTTTGCTTGCAAAACTGAAAAACATGTATTTCAGCTTCTGATTTGCTGAAATCACTGCATGCTACAGAGAGAATAAAACACAAAAGTGTCTGCCAGAGAGATGCAGACATATAAAAAAACGTATTTCTTGTGAGACCGGTCATTTTCTCTTCATCAGGGCTGAGTTTGTGCTTTCAGGGCAACCCTCAGACCACGCCCTTGGATCTGATGACTCCCACTAATTTAACCCAAAGTAGACAGTTCCTGTGCATGACATTTTATTATTGACTGGGGAAAGTAGTAGGTGGGCTTTGAGTTACAATTATTTTTTCACTCATGCCGACTGATGCTAAGTCAGTAAAATTGCAATCTGTAATGTATGTGTCATTTTCAAAGCATTATAACAGAAGGTGCAAAGTGCACATTTTCAGTCAAAACACACTCAAATAAATAAAAAGCACTAGTGGATAAACAAACTGCTTTTCGTCACATTTATAATTGCTAATGCTATACTTTGGTCTATCAAAAACATCAAACTGCATGTTTTGTGGACTCTTTAAGTATAACTGAATTAATCATATACAAATTTAGTTTTTTATATAAGAAGGCTTTAGGCTCCAGTCTTTTCCTCAGTTTTGTCCTCAAAGTGATTGACTTTCCTATTTGCCAACACCAGATGGAGCTCAAGATCTCGCATGGAAACAGAGGTAACCTGCTGTTGTCATGGTTTCAGGTGGCCTGGAGACACAATACTGCAAGCTAATTGGTAGAAAGAGAAATAGAGAGGTACTTTTTTGTTTTATATCACTATCTCTATATTTAGTCTGACATCACTTACATTTACTCAAAATGTACTATGTTAATTGTTTGTATCCACAACTGAATAGTTGTATATGTACAATGTCGTCTACCTCTTGCAATCAGCTTTTCTTTCCTTATTTTGAGTTGCTGAAGGTGAATCTGAGGGTAATCATCACATGACCATGCAGCACTGATGTAATGTTAATACAAGTCAGATCTTTTGGTGGGGAATGCACATCATCTCTCTGTCCCACCCTGTGTTCATTTTGACTTCTCCTCCTCTCCTCCGACAGCACAAACAGTATCATCAGCCAACTATCCAAAAACAAGCCATAAATCATGATCCTTTCCTCCGCCACATCACAGACAAACACACATCTCTGATGTTGTTTACAAGCGAGTTCAGCCGTTTTTATTCCGATAGCTTGGCCTCAGAATCAAGCATGCTGTCTGCATCTGCTTGCCTGGAATTAAAAGGGCTTTTATCCAAACCTTCTTTGCACACACAGAGGATTTCATTTTAGATTTGAACACCAGCAGTAGCCCAAATTGCTTCCATTACTAAATAGGCTCAGAAACAAAGAATAGGCCCACTGATAAACTGCAGCAATTGAAAGGGTGTTGATGAAAGAATCATGTACCCTGGCACATCATTAATGGCATGTTGGGGCTCACTATGGCTCCGTCCCGCCTCAGTGGCGCTGAGAGATGTGTTCATTTGGATTATCTTTTGTATCGTGTTACCTGTCTCCTGCCTCTGTATGCAGTAATGTGAACATATCTACAAACAAACGTTTGGGACACTCCATCAACACTGGAGACATGCACAGGGTTGGGTAAAGCTCATTGCTTGAATGGGACTAACTGTGTAATCCACCCGTTGAAAATATATGTTCCTCTGATTCAGTTTTGTTTACATTTTGCCACTTTGCTGCGTAGTGTGAGTCATGAACACACATACATAAGCATATCACTGGCGTAAATCTGTATAAACTGGAGAAGGACTCAAAAGCAGAGACAGAAAAAAAACTTTTATTCTGCTATTACTTTGCACTGGGATATGTGCACATCATTTCATGTTGGAAACAATCTAAATGTTATCCATTATGCATCATCAAATGAAATGCAGGCGGGTCATGAGGAGGGTGAATGAGTTGCTGGGGTGTGCCAGGTTTGACGTAGGCCCGTTCCACTGGTTGGGGAACAAGGGCAACAACAATCAGAAGTGATATATGAAATGATAATGTGGTAAACAACAATCCAGATGATGCTTATCATGATCTAAAACAAGCTCTTTTTAAGATAAACGTCAGACAGTTGTGAAGTCTTATTCAGAAATCTGAATCATGATCCAGATTGTTTTAAGAATAATGAATACAAACCAATCAACAAATGAACTGCAGTTCAAAGCTGAAACTGATTATCATGATCAAGTGAGTGTTTTCTAATTCAATGTTGTTTCTAGCCTGTGCAAAGCAGAAAAAGGGTTGCCTGTTTTCACTGTGAACCAGCAAACAAAGATGTTCAATTATGGGAAGAGCACTCTTAAAAATATGGATGATTACATGGTTTATTTTTGCAGAAGAGGCTTAATCAGGAATAAGGAAAAAGTGCAGCAACGCCTGGTATATTTCAATCTGTTTTTCAATAAAGGACTGTGAGAGGTGTCAAGACAGCACACACACGCACCTCAGAGGGACTGTGTGATGGCTGCAGAAAGAAAATGTATTGGATATCTTTTTTAAATAGAGCTAACCCAAAGATATTGATGCATTCATTTTTATTTCAGAGGGATAATTTCATAATCGATTACAAAAATGATTACTGTAATATTCATGAAAATGGTGGTTGAAACTCAAGTTTACTGTTTTAAAGATATTCTTATTTGTTGAGCTAATTATTGATGTTTGTTAATGATAACAAGATGACTTTTCAAATAAATGTTCTGCACACTTTAAGAGCTTCCTATCTTAGGGTCAGCAGTAGAACATTGAGAGAAAGCGACCTTCCATCTTATTAAATGTAGACATATTGCCTCCTCCATTTGTCTCCCTCTTTGATCTTGCCTGCATGGTGTTTCATCGTATTTACAAAGGGTCCTTACAAGTTTAATTTAAGACACAATAAGCATTAATTAACATGATACATGTCTCTTTGCTTCAGTGATGGGCTCTGAAAGGCAGAACAGATTCAGTCTTTGATCGCTGCTTTTGTTTGATGTGTGGTGTATTTTGTGGCAGAGACCGAGGATTGCTATTTCAATGGTGGGCCAAATTGATTAAGAAAGATATGCTTAGCTGGACACACACACACACACACACACACACACACACACACACACACACACACACACACGATTATATAGAGATGTTTTCTTACTTTCTGTGACAGCTTATTTTGAATACATGTCAAGGGTTTAAGGGCTTCCGTCAACCTCTACTCACAGCGTCCCTGACAAGTCTAATTATGTCCATTTTGATTAGCTCTAAAACTCAAGCCCATTAGTTCCCTCTGATATCAATATTTACAAATCTGTCAAAAAGTAGTATCATTTAAAAAAAGAGTTTTAAAATCTAGAATTTGTACTTTTTTAGCAAAAGTTCCCCAAGCTGGACTCAATAGTGCAATAATAAGGACTATTCTAAGAAAATAAACTACAACGCTCGTGTGAATAACAGAAGAAACATGTCACCTGGGTGTGGCTCAATGATGTCTAATAGTATAGTAATAGTTTTTGGACAACAATAAAGGTCTAGGCACAGTGGAATTAACTGCATCACTTATTGGATATAATGACAACATTTCAGACATTTATCTAATCTATTCAAATCTTCTTCTGAATGAATTTCAGGCTAAGGAATAAATATGACTGGGCGTTATGATTATTGGGTAACTGAATGTTATCAATGAATAACACACTAAAAATAAAAAAAAGAATAGGCTACATAATAAGAGTGTGTGGAGTGGGGATTGAATAACTCATATTTAGAAATAAACTGAACCTTGTAGACACAATTGTATCAGAGGGGAAAGGTTTTTTCTGTTTTATGGTTTGTTTACCCAGCCTCCCTGTAAAATCGTTGGCATCATTGCCACACCAAAGATTCACAACAAGCTTCCCGGTGGCGATGATATGTTCTCTCTGTTGTGTTGGCAACTTTTTCTATGAAACCAAGAGCCAATACAACTGCAAAGAAAGTAACCATGATAGCCAATGAACATGTTACCATCACCGGTCTCCGGTTGCTATTTGTGGCCGGGTGTCGCAGTGTTGCAAAGCTGAACATGACCAGCGCCATGACCAACCATAGTGAAAGCGGAAGTACAGTTATACAGGAATGGCGGGAAACTTTATTTAATCTGTTATGGCTGCCACAGTTGAAGATGATAATTATTGTTTTTGAGCAACTCTTTGATTTTCAGCACTCTGGTGCATTTGCATATTATTGTTGACCAGTTTTTTGGGTTAGTAGCAGAGGTAGTACTTAGCAAATCTGCAAAGTAACTAAAGGTAAGAAGGTGGAGTAAAAGTACCTCATTTACCACAGTGTGGTAGAATTACAAAGTAGCAAACAATTGAAATACTCAAGTAAAGTACAAGTCGCTCAAATTTGTACTTAAGTACAGTTCATGAGCAAATGTACTTAGTTACTTAACATCACACATCACATTGATTGTATCTGTGAGTAGGGCGTCTGAATACTTCCTCCATCGGTGCTCAGTATCAATGCTTTTGTTTTGAAGGTCAAACACGGAAATGCTGTGAATTATTTTGAAGAGCTCGAAACAAACACATTTTCAGGGTGGATCACAAACTGACGTCTCTCCCTCCTCCCTCTACTTACAATTCAGTAAAATTATAGCTATCGGACGAAGTACATTCGTCTTAACAAGAGAGTAGCAGGCATCCTGTGTGAGCTCCGGAAAACACCATAAAATCTGGGGGATTCGTCTCTTAACTGAAATTAGCTAACCCCAAATACCGACAGAAATGGACGAAAAGGCTTTTACGAAAGAAATTGATCTGTGGATCGAGCAGCTCAACGAGTGCAAGCAGCTATCGGAGGGACAAGTGAAGTCACTTTGTGAAAAGGTGAGAAATTTAAATAAAATTCCTCGTATGTGAGGTCACTTAAACCGTTAACGTCTTCTGTCTCCTTAACGACGCCTTCTAGACATTCTAAAATGGCGTCTATAGGGTACATTTCACTCCGCGGTGCATGTATTTCTCTATCTTCCTAAAAGTACTTTTGTTTTTGGGAGTTTGAATCGTAGCTTATCTGAAATGTCTGGAAAATAACACATTACAAGCACATGTTGTCGGGTGGCTGTGGCTATCCTAATCCAGCCATACTGTGGATTCAAGTCACATACCACATTTACAGCCCCCTAATTCAGACTGTCAGTGTGACCTGTAGCATCTCTTTTAGCTAGCTTAGCATGGGCAGAAAAAGTACCATCACGTTTAAATTACAGTGTGTGACATACTACTTAATTTTGTCTGCATATAAGCAAGTAAATGGGAGGAAAGCAATGAGTAGGTGAATTGCAGTGTTGGAAGAAGTACTCAGATTAGTACAAATACTATCCATAACAAGTCTAAGTGCTGCATTTTAAATGTTGCTTGAGTAAAAGTTCAAAAGTATTAGCCTCATAATATACTTACAAAAAGCAAAAGTACTCATTCTGCACAATGGCCAATTTCAGAATAATACAAAGTAAATAAGTATTATCAGCTAGATGTACTTCCAAGTATAAGTACTTGTTTTGCAAATGGATATCTTCACATTACTATGCTTTTATGGTTATTAATTTATCCTGTTTTTATTACTAACAAATATTATGTAAGAGCATTTCAGCCTTGACACAGTAGGCTACTGCATTGGAATGTCATATGAATGTAGCAGAGTAAAAAGTATGATATTTGACTATGAAATTGCTGGAATAAAGTTGGTTTATCCTACTTTATGTTTGTATACCATGGAATTTCTCTATTTTAATGTACAGGTAGTCAACAAAGTTGCATTTATCCTCTGACCCCTGCCCTTCATCTAGCTTCTTATTCACTTCTCTAGTCAATAAGTAGTGAGACTGACTTGTTTTAGGGCAATTTTCAAACTAACATGAGATTATATGGTTTAATTGATCATAGGTTTGGTGGGAACTTTAAATATTAACCCTCACCTCTTGTATGTTTACTCGTGTTTTAGTACATTTGGTGAACATTGTCTGAATTGTACAGGGAAACTTAGTCTATGCAAACAAAAGATGGGGGGGGACTGAGCTAATTTCAGATACTCTTTTAACAGATATTTGCTTGATGCTGAGCCAGGTATTTAATCTTATTTAAATGCAATGTAATGATGCACATACAGATGTACAATGTTATTTAAGTATCCATATGTTCCTGCTCCTGCCTTGCCTGACAACTGGCCATTCACTTTGCAGACTTTTGTTCACTGGAGCTTAACACCACTTTCTCTTCAAAATCCTTCTGCTCCGACCACCTGCTGATTTCCAGCTCTGTATATCAGGGCTAAACGAAAACTATTTACACTTACAGTTAAACAATTAATTTGCTATCATCCCACCAGTGTTTATTATCAGAAGTTATCCTTTGGTGCTTTGAAATTAAATGAAATGTATTAGTTGAGTTTTTCTTTTTTATATACTTAATGAAAACAAAATATTTGTTGATCTTCCTAAACCATTTTTAAAAAAAATACTTTTTTCAATGAGTCACACTAATAGTTTGTGGTGGTTAAATTAGCTGTTATCTTTCTGGTGGCCTGGTTTTCTTCAAGTTTGCTGTTTAGCTTATCCCTGATAAAGAGCATACATTTGGACAAATGTTTTTTTTTCTTTTTGAGTGCCATTCGCTAAATCATTCTTCAGTGCAGCTCTGTCCCTCTCAGCTCGTAAAAGGACTTGAAAACTACCACGTTTGGAGTTCTGTGCGCTGGAGGTAATGGCATGCTATTTTCGAATGGCTTGTTAATCCCAGCAATTTTATTGTTTTCCTGTTAATATTGATAACGTCAGTTCCAGTATTTTAAAATGCCCTGTTTTCTGCAATGTGGTTCAAAATTGTGGATGAAAACTGAAAATGTCAGTTCTTATTCGATTTATTTTTGACTTTACACCAAACAACAGGACAGCAAATTACAGATAAAAGCAGGAACTGCACAAATAAGTGTGTTTTTTCTTTCCTGCTGCCCCTCACTGTTTCCTTCCAAATGCTGAAACTATGCCATAAAAATAGTGGAGAGGAAAAAGGAAACGTACACAGTTTCCTCACCCTGAGGCTGTTTCATTGTCACAACTCATATGAACTCAACTTCTCCAAACTGCTGTCGACCTGAACCTATCCCCCCACCGCACTATGACTTCTGTTATATAATCTGCAGATTGCTCCCGCTCAACCTCCTCGCTGATTTAAAAATAGCAGAGGATATGATTGATTTTGAGTGTCATCAATATCACTGTGAAACCCATTGTTAGAGTGTGTGTGACTCAGGATAATACGGTTCCTTGTGACTCAGAGCGGCCGTCTCTGTTTTGGGATGCACGGGGGTGTGGAGGAATGTTATGTGCTGTGTAATCTGATTTTAGTCTTTCATTCCTGCTTTCCAGCTTTCTCAGAAAAGCCAGAACAGAACAGACCAGAATTTCTGGTGTGTGTGTGTATATAACGGCAGGAATACTTAAGAGCTTAAACATTTTTATCAAAATCAAAGCACATGTTTTACTATTCCCCCTCTTAGGGCTGTAGATGTGATGTTTGTAGCGATGTCATCTGCTTAATAATTTAATTGTGTTTAAACAAGTTACCATGTTTAAATCAAGCCAGTGGAGAGACAATGCTCTGTTCACTGGAAATTGGTTTTGTGTTCCTGTCAATTAACTGAGTCAATTTAATTAAACGTACAACAGGGACATTTCTCTGACCTTGTCGGTTCAAAAATAACCCTTCAGAGAGTTGCACAACAATTCAGACATCCCCTATGGAGCAGTGTTTGCTAACCATTAAGCTAGATCCAGTTCACTTTTCTATTAAGCCAAGCAAAGGGCTTTGTATACAAAAGATCCATACCTAGTGCTAAGAGATAACCAACAAAATAACAGCGTTTATATGAAATGTGCTTAATAAACGTAAGAATATTTATGCAATATGACATCATATAAGTATGTCAGAATTATGTAATGATTTTTGTCACGCTGCAATGCGCTTCCTGCAGCTAAAGTGTACTGACCGCTGTCTATGTTGAAACCAGTCTAATGCAGTTAGCTCTGCAGCTGAGGTCACTGTTTTTACACAATGAGTCATGAGAGAGAGAGACTGCTCCACGTGATGGTTTGTTTTCATACACCAACGTCTGATATAGTAAACTAAATTGGCATCCTCTATTCATCAACAGAAATCCTATGATGGTGTTCTAAAGATATCCTCAAAGCTGTACAAATGGATATCAAAAATACAGCTGTCCCTGTGAACACACTCAACCAAAAACACTGACGGTGACTAAAGGTTGTTAAATGTATCTCAGCAAACACATCAACTTTCATAGTAAAAACACTCTGCTATCGTTAGGCTGCTGATGCTGATTTCCACGCTGATGATAGTGCTGCTGTCAGGGAGATGATTGTCTTCCATCTTGAGAGAGGTCATTGCTTGTGGTTGTAGTTGTGCCTAGTCGTCAAGCTTAATGACCACATGTAAAACCTTTGGCCCTGTTTAACTTACTTTAATGGGATTATAAAGCAGCAGCTCTTAAAAGGCTGACATCACTCCTCGTCAGTACTTGACTAAGCAGTTTGTTGAATGTGTGACGTCTGACTTCTTGGCACGGCCGTAATAAAGGCAGAGTTCCCTCCCTGTGGCATTTCTGCTTCAGGTGTGGTCTGTACTTTTCCCGGAGTGCTGACGCCAGCGCTGCCGTCATCCTGTTTCATTTACAGCTGGACTGGCATCCCCAATGTGAGCTGCTGTCTCACAGGTCTCTCTCACAGGTCTCTCACGGGTTATCGCGGAATCCAAGTTTAAATATGCTATAAAGGCAAATCAAATCAGTTGTTTAATACATTATACAATGAGAGAGATAACTCGTTGTCAGTGCTCTTCACACAAAGTGCATGCTAACTGAGTTAAAATCGGCTGAGCAAATTTAGGACACAGAGCGTCACTTAACACATTACTCATACAGTTCAGTGTGAGGGTTACAGAGCTATAGGCCATTAAGTACTGTGTATAATGCACTGGCAAAGAAACTTAGTTGTGTACTTGGCAGTTCTACTACTTTTGCTTTTTTAATCCTGAACTAATCCAAAAATACCCCAAAATCAATATGGACCATGATGAAAACATGTCAGGGTTCAACACCCTACCCAAATTAGATTTGTATAAAATGATGTTGCAATTGAATCAGTTTCTTAATGAGGTTAAGTAAGAAGGATCGCAGACAGACTGTCTTTAAGTCCAAATAAAATGCAGATTGGTTCATTTGTCCAAAGTAATCAGGAGGGGCGAGGTCAAAAATATATTTCTGTTCTACCATAATGCAGGCATAAACAGTCAGAGGCCCTGATCAATCTGTCCTCTACAGCCCAGTCATTGTAAGGCCTCCTGCCCCCCCCCCACACTATGGGCATGTGGAGTGTAATGTAGGTCAGCTTTGTGCAGTCCTGCAGTCACTCTGGGTCTGTCTCTCTCTCTCAAATCTGCCAGGATGACAGGCACTCTGTCCATGTCAATAACCCCACTCTGTTTCACCCTACCTTCATTTTGTACACGCCTTACTCTGTCTTTTTTTTCTTG